TCTACTTAATAAACCAAGTTTACGTTACATGTGGGACCACATTTTAATTTTCTCCTAATGACAGCATAGCAAAAAAGCTTTCTTTCTCCTGATGTACAAACACTCCTATCTTAGGACCTTCAGTGGAGATGGTATAAATAAATTCCATGAATTGAAGTAGAAAAATGTTCTAGGTTCATTATTGATCTGCTTTTGCTGCCCACATCATTTTATCTGAACGGAAGCAGGTCCTATTAATTCATGATGGAATTTAGTCAGGCCTTAAATTGAGAGGAGGGGGAAAAAGGTGGAGACCAAGACTTCACAGCTGTGTTCCACACCTCACCTCACATGTCTTTTTTTTTTTCGTACTGGGGATCAAACTCAGATCCTTGTGCTGGCAAGGCAGGCGGCAGAACTGCTGAGGTAAATCCCCTGTGCTCTCACATGTTGCTGTGAGTTTGAGGACAGCCTGGGCTACATGGCGAGTTCAAGGCCAGCCTAGGCTACACAGTGAGATCCTGTCTCAAAAAAACAAACAAAAGCAATCTGCCTATATTAAGAGAAGGCCATTAAAAGGAAACTGTCTGAAAAAGTCAGATCTATGAATTCAGTATGGACTACAGGCCCAGCAATAGACCTTAGAGTCAAATCTGGCCTTGAAAATGATTTGGAAATTACATGCATGTCTGTGTTTATAGCGGCACAGCTCATAATAGCCAAATCTCGGGAGCAGCCTATATGCCCATGAACAGATGACTGAATAAAGAAAATGTGGCATTTATATACAATGGACTACTGCTGTGCCATAAAGAAGGATAAGTGTCATTTGTAGGAAAGTGGATGCACCTTGAGACCATAATGCTACATGAAATAAAATCAAACTTCAATATCACATTGTTTCTCTTGTATGAGAACCCCAGAGTATAAATAGTTCCAGGAGCAAAATAATATATGACAGGAGCAGGGAGATAGACTTTGTGGGGATGGGAAAGGGATGCAGGGATGGGGAAGGGTGGGAGGGGCAGGGGCATTAAGAAGGATATATGTGTGTGTGTGTGTATATATATGTATGTATATATAAATATAATATATATACATATATATATAAAACAATTCCCCATGATGACTGTGTTATGTATTTCAAATATTATATACTAATGAGGAAAAAAAAAGTCCTTGCATTAGCTAGATGATCATCACCCCGCCTTAATTCCACTTGTTCACAAAGTAGGAATTAGCATTAACCAGGGGCAATTCCATTTCTTCAGTTAATTCTGAGAGTCCTACATTTATTTCCACTTAGAATGAGAGTTTTAGAATGCTTTGAAACCACTTAATCCAACTGTCTTAATTTGTGACTAAAAATATTGATGATATGACGGATTCATTCTAAGTCAGGGAACCAGTTAGTGGCAAGGCCAGAAAGAGAACATTACTCTGTGAGCTACTTAACACTTCCTGGTGCCCTGTAGAGATTAGATGTACAAGAATCCGTAAGAAAATTCTGTAAAAGTCACACTGGGAAAAGTAAGAAATCTTTGGGGGAGAATAATCCATCATGACAACATTCTACCAACTACCCAATGGTTTACCTAGCTACCTGGAAACCAGAGTCACACCAAAGGTGGAGGTGGGCGTGGTGTTGCATGCGGGTAATCCCAGCACTCAGGAGGCTGAGGCAGGAGGATCACTATGAGTTCGAGACCAACCTGGGCTACGTGGTGGGTTCATGGCACTCTTGAACCACACAGTGAGATCCTGTCTTAAAGAACAAAAAATGAAGCGTGGCCTAAATATGGGCTGCATCCATGTCATCGGTCTCTTAGGAGTACTAGCAAGCTGGTGCTCCCACCCTGGTGTGAATTACAAAAGCATGCTTTCCCTGGGCGGGAGCAACCTCTTGAGAGAGATTAAAAACACTTTCCTTTAGTTGAATGCAGCCAGTGCCCTTCTGCAATGTGGCAAGTGGAGATGAGATGGATTTCATTCCCCAGTACCCCTTGGCCAAGCACCTTTCGCATGTACCAGGAACCATCTCCTGTAGACTACTACACCCGTGTGTGTGGCAGGAGTACTTTTGCTACCGACCGTAGGGCAGCAAACACGGGATTTCACGAGGAGATACAGGTTCTCTGAAAGGTGGGAGCAGGTTCGGCGATGACAGACAAAAGCACTCAACACCGAGGTGAAGTTTGCCAATGCTGCTGCGATTTTATTTCTAACTCCAGGTATTTATATACTAGTTTCAAGGGCACACCTCAAGAGTGATTTCAGGCACAGGCAGGCATGAGAAAGATAGACAATAGTACTGTAAAAACTAAGACCACAAGGTCAAGTTAAGACCACACCTATATACCATCACAAAAGCTAAGACCATTAAGTCAAGGTAAGACCACACCTATACGCAGTCAGAAGGGGAACTTTGTAAAACAAAGGACTGGCTTCAGCATGTCACCTTCAGGATCACCTTCAGGACTTCACAGTCCAGGGCTCAGGGTCAGCACTTTGGCTGCCTGTCCTCTTGTGCCTCAATACCTCCCCATCTCTAGGAACATCTAATTGTTCCTAACCTTTCCTGGGCCCAGAATACAATTCTACAGATAATGAACAAATAGTAATAAAGACAAAATAGAACAGAATTATAAATGAACCCAATGTCCCCAAACTGCAGGCAGAGAGGCCAGCTATTCTCTTCACGGCTGACTTCGCATGCGGTGTGTGCCAAGGACCTCCAGGAGGCTTAACCCCGTGGGGACGATACCTCGGGTCTGGTTTCTGCCAGGTGACCGGCATTGTCACGCAGACTCCACTGCAGTGGTCGTGGCATACTTTGATAAGCAACCTGCAGTGGAGTTGAGCAGTCAAAGAGTGGCAATCATCTCAAGCTTGCCTCTCAGGAGGGCTGAGTGGGGAACAAAGTTTGAGGCTGTAGCAGAGAGGAGAGGTCGAAGGCCACAGGAAGGCTCTTCCACACCTCCATTAGCATCCAACCTCCTTGAGGTTCTGGGAATGGGTGGTTCTAGATGTTAATTCTGTAATTCCCCTGAAGAAGTCTGCAGGGACAGAGGTACCAGAATGCTCTGGCATTTATTCTTGAGAGAATGTTTACATTTCTGAGTTGCATCAAATACTTACTTTCTCTTCATTTTCCAGGGACTAGAGAGACTTTTTGGTTAAGTGATGAAGTCAATCTTGTTTGTTTTTGTACCACTGGGGACCGAACCCCAGATATTACTAATTTTTATCTCAAATTCTAAATAAGAGAATTTCCCAGTACTTAACACTTAGTATTAACTATTATTATTAGGGTGTCTGCCAGGTCATTTGTCCCTGAGATGGTCTTTTAAAAAATCCCTGTGCCTGGCAGTGTCCAGTTAAGGGTGGTGATAGGAGGCTAGGCTGCGGCAGCCTGGGGCCCTGTGCGTGTTTGCACTGTTTAGGATTAACAGGGAGCTCTCCAAGAAGCGAGGATTTTCAGGTGGCCCAAGAGACGAGTCTAGGAACAGAGAGACAAAACGAAGATCAAATACCCTGCCACGGCTGGCATAGTGCTGCTACACCTGTAATGTCAGCGCTCCGGAGGCCGAGGCAGGGCTATCCCTGCAAGTTTGAGGCCAGCCTGGGCCACAGAGCAGGTCCCTGTCTCAAAAACAAAGCCTTCCCAACGAACAACAAAACAAATCAAACACCCCACCTTGAAGAGAAACGTGTACTAACGCTAGGCAGGGAATTGAGACCATACAATTGTACAGTAGTTACGGACTTTCTGGCCACACCCATCCCCTCGCAGGAATTGTTAAGAAGCTAGGAATAGGAAACACCAGGCACACGTGACAGTTCGAATGACTATAAAGCTTCTTTCGGGTGGTCCAGAAAGCAAGACCACAACACATAGTCATCACTGGCCCAAAGATAGATTACATTTCCACGGGTTTGAGGTCAAGCATCTTGTCTTTTCGCCCTGCAGAAACAGAAGGTGCTGAACATGTACAAGCAGTAAAGGAAGGACACAGCCGGATAGATAAAGACCCGAGATGATTTGCAGTCCCTCCACCCCTCCCCGTCTCGATCAGCAAATCTCAAATAAGGGCCCCTTCATTGTGTTTGGACCACCTCAAACCATCTCCACAATCTGCTGCCGAACCACCCGGCATCCACCAGGGTTGGTGGGGTGGAGGGCAATGCGTTTCTCTCCGGGTGATCACCAGAGTCACAGGCATGGAAATGAGGCCATCGCTAGGGCAGAGGGAAACGCCCCGGGAACTCGAAGGCCTGCGGAGCTGCGGGGATGGGCTGCAGGCCCAGGCTGAGGCTCTCCGTCAGGGCGCGCGGCTCTCCCGCTCCCGCTCCCGCTCCCGCTCCGGCGG